GCACGGTGGCTAACATCTATAATCCAGGTAGTTTGGGAGGCTGAGGTGAGAGAATTGCCTGAGCCCACGGGTTTGAGACCAGCCTGAGCAACTTGGCGAGACCTCATCTCTTTAAAAAAAAAAAAAAAAAAAGAGGACCTAGATACAGATTCTGGAGACCTTTTAAAAGACAAAGAATTCATGTTTGGAGATAGCCTTAAAACTTCTAGGGCTTTTGGCCAGGTGCAGTGGCTTACACTTCACGCAATTTGGGAGGCCGAAGTGGTAGGATCCTTTGAACTCAGGAGTTTGAGATCAGCCTAGGCAACACAGTGAGGACTTGGCTGTACTAAAATAAAAAAACTAACTGGGTGTGGTGGTACATGCCTGTAGTCCCAGCTACTCGGAGGGCTGAGGTGGAGGGTCACTGGAGACCAGAAAGTTGAGGCTGTTGTGAGCTGATCCTGCCACTGCTGCACTCTAGCCTAGGGACAACGTGAGATCCTGCCTCAAAACAAAAAACTAACAAACAAATCCAACCAAACAAAAAAAAAAACCTGGGCTTCAATTAGGGCTTTTAAAGACCACTGCAAGCATGCAGCTTAATCCTTGAAGGGGGTCTCTGTTGCCCAAGTTGTAGTGCATTGACATGATCATAGCTCACTGCAACCTCGAATTCCTAGGTTTCTCCCACATCCAACCTCCCTAAAGTGCTGGGATTACAGGCATAAACTATCACTTATCCTAAAAGTAGTTTTTGTTGCAGGCACCTTGATAGATGCTCATAGGCTATAAAATTAAGAAATGTCAGTCGGGCTCGGTGGCTCAGCCTGTAATCCCATGCCTTTGGGAGGCTGAGGTGAGTGGATTGCCTGAGCCCACGGGTTCGAGACCCGCCTGGGCAGCGAGACCTCATCTCTACAATAAATCGAAAAATCAGCTGGGCGTGGTAGCGCATGCCTGTAATTCTGGCTACTCGGAAGGCTGAGGCGGAAGGATCGCCGGAGCCCAGCAGGTCGAGGCTGTGGTGGCCGGGAGCGGCCACTGCACTCCAGTCTGGGCGACAGAGTGAGACTCCAACTCAAAAAAAAAAAAAAAAGAAATGTCTTT